GTAGGCGACGAAGGGGAGAGCTGGGGGGGGGGGGGGGGGGCGGTGAGAGGCCGCAGGGAGGGGAGGGGAGGGGAGGGCGATGGGATATGGGATAGGGTGGAGGAGGGGCGGGGGAGCTGGGCCGGGGGCTCTGGCAGGCTCCAAACTCATGTAAACAAACAATCCAGACTGTGGGGAAAGTTGATGGCAGGGTCCCTGAAAGGTCCCCAGGCTCTGGGTAGCCAGGTTCCCAGCGCCCCCTGAGCGGGAAAGGTGGGACTCATGGAGCGAAATTGGCAGGCAGGTGGGGCCAAAGGCCAGGGCAGTTAAAGTGCCCCTTGGAGCCCTCGCCATCCAGCTGCACTTGAACTCAAATCAAAGTGAGTGGATGCTGCCTCGAGGAGTTCCCTCCAGCTTCACCTCTCCCCCTGCCCTGAGCCATCCGAAGCACCTGGCAGCTGGGAGAGGCAGGCTCCCATCCTTCCATCAGGTGCTCAAGTGGTTTCCTGGTTTGGGGCGCCATGGGGTCTGCTCCCTCAGAAGGTGAGAGCCCCTGAGTGCTTTGTCTATGAGGGTGGCGACTGGAAAGGCAGGCATCACATGCCCAGCAAACTTTTCTGTCTCCTGGGAAGCCTTTCCTTGTCACTTTCCAAGGAGAGCAGAGCCAGAGGTGTCAGGGTGTGTGTGGGTGGATCATGCCCAGTGGCCCCCATCTCAAAGGGGAGGTCGTTGAAAATGGGGAGGAAGGGAGTCATCTGGCCCCAGGCAGGGCTGTGGGCCTGCCCAGGAGCCACAGGGAGCTGGGGATTGGTTGTTGTGGCTGTTGCTGCTCCTTGCAATCTGTCCCTGGTGTGTATTGCAAATCAGATTTCATGTCCAAGGGGAGAGAGAAAGGATACCTTTTTACAGTGCTGCTGAGATGAAAACAAACCAAAAAGAAAATACTGTAGGATCTGACAATCGTGTTTTACTGGCTCCTTTTTTAAAACCCTTTTTAATGAGCCCAAGACTAAGGATGCTTCCTTTTTTTTCGAAAAGAAGCAGCAGTATCTGTTCAGTTTCCCATGATGGAACATCACGATCCCAGACGCCAGGCTACCCCAGCCTAACCCACGGAGGTGTTACATCAGGAAAGGCGGGGTTCAGGCGCCCATCCTGGCACTTTCCCGTTCCGGAGGATGTCCGAGGGGCTGGGCCCACTCTGTGCAGCTTGTGGAACTCGCTGTTTATTTTTCCCGTCGTGGTGTTTCTGCCAGACCCCGGTGGCTAAAGTTTTAAGACATGGAAGGTATTCTCTGCAGTTGCTCAGGCAGCCCTGGTGAGGCCCACAGGAGGCATGTGAAACCTTGGAGTTAGGAACCTTGTCAGTTGATTTTTCTCATATTTGTGAGAGATGAGTTAATAATCTGGGGTGGCAAAAGATGACAGTAAGACAATAACACAAGCAGGAATGCAAACCCCTGTGTGCTTAAGTAGCGAACACAGCATCCAAGTGAGAAGAAGACGATGAAATGTACATTTATTTTGTAGGAGTTTTTCATGTGTTTAAAGATCAAAATGGTGAGCTTTAGTGTGATGGGCAAATGGCATCGCACAATGGGCACTGGTGATTAATATTCTATTATTTAACCTTTATCCTGCCAGCATACTTAATTTAGCATACACATATAGATTCAAGACACACAACACAGTTGTAGTCCTGAATGTACATGTACCCATATTTTTAAAAATATGTACTATCTAGTATGAATTCAGAAAGCCAGAAGGATAATAAAATTAAGAGTTAACTTGTTCTAAGAGTAATTTTTGGAAATGAGCTTTATACATTTGGTCCAATCAATAATTTCTGAGGCCCTCCATGCACTTGTATGGAATAAGTATGTCCCAGGAGTCAGTGTTACAAGGGCGGACTTTCAAAATGCAAAGTCACATTTGCCACCTTCGTCTGGCTGCAGCACGCCAGCCGGGCCTGCCGGCTCTGTCCTGGCGGATGGCTGCGCTACCAGGCTGCCGGCTCCATGGTGACACCTCCCAGCTTCACTGGGCCATGTCATTTGAAGGAGCTGTGGTGGTGTCTGACCCCCGAATGCTTACAAGTGTCACGGATGCTGCAAGAATCCAATCCTCGGCACAGTGAGAAACTGTATTTTCCTGTCAAAGAGAAAGATACAGAAAATAGTTCATGGGAATCTATTGTTGATCTCAAAGAAACATAATTGAGATTCTGTTACATTATTGCTAACTATAGCATGTTAATTTTAGGGACTAATGGCATTATTCTAATTTTAACTCACAAAAAGAATGTAGGGATAAGCATCCAGTTACTAACTTTAATGTAGAAAATGCTGTGAGTTGCAGCCAGTAGCATGACATCAGCCCATTTATTATAGTATCAGCATAATATGAGAATGTCCTTTCAGCCTTATGTGTGGTTTAACAGGGAGGTAAATGCGTTAAACCATTGTTTTTGCAATTGCATCACTTTTATTGAAGACAATTGAATGGGAGGGCATCCATTGTATTTATTTTTTTGTTCACCTGTAGTTCTTAAAGTCTAAATAGTTCCCCAAATTCAGAGGAGGTGGAAAATTAAAATTGACCAGCCTGTTGAAATAAGAACAAAATAGAATAACTTCAAAGAGAATTTAGTTGTTAAGAATATGTTATCTATAGAAAATAGGTCTATTAATATAACAAAATTTAAACATGTTTGTAAATATTAAGTAATTCTGCATTTTTATTAAGTCTAGAAAAATAAAGCAACCCAAGCATAAAGACTTTATAAATAACCAAATTAACTTTTAATTTTTGCTGTCATTGCTTTGTTTTTTGAGTGTGTCATTTATGTTCAAATTCATATTTTATTGTAGCAAACTAAGCATTTAGGGTAATAAGTTTAAAAATAAGAGCTTTACTTTCTTATATTCAAATGTATACATAACTAATTTAAGACAAGACGTGAGTAGACAAAAATTAAAATATTTTGAAGTCCTCTTTCTTCATTATTTTTGTTTTGTTTTCTTGTAAGAAATATAAAACTTAAGAAAGAAGTTCTTGAAAAGTTTTGGAAGAGTCATTATTAAAAGAGTCATTATTCTAAAGCATAAAAATTTAATTTAGTAAAGGGACATGACATGCAATGCGTAGAACATTAAAAAGTAAACAATAGGAGACTTATAATCTAAGTTTATCTTAAGCAACCCAAAATTTCTTTTTTATTTTGATTTCTTACATTTTAAGGCAGAATTTAGTCATTGTCCCAAATAAATCAAATTGGACTGGATTAATTAATTTCTCTTTTGCATTTTTATTGCACCTCCCACAATGGAAGAGTTAAATAAATGCCAATTGAAAGTTGAAGGAATAAGGTTATAGAATTAAAAAGCCTCAGCATTGCACTTCACCAATATCTTCCTCAATGGACGTTACTATTGTACAGGACAAAAGGCCATCGAACCTCCTCCAGAAACACCTGTAGTGGAAATGCATTCATGGGAATGATCACATTTTTTAAACATTTGGCCACCAGGCGTTGCAGTCCCATGTAGAGTTCGGTATTAGTGTATAGTTTTCAAGACATTATGTTTTATAGCAGGTAGAAGACTACCCTATAAAGATTTCACTTTCTACAAAACATAGTCTGTTCAAAGATTTCACATAAATGAATGTAAACATCAGACATGCTAATTACCCATTTGCTACAATGACCTGCAATGATTAAAAAGCTGTTAGATTTTCTCATCCACAGTGTTGATTCCTGGCTTGGTGTTCAGGAAGTGTTTCTCTAACTGCGAGGCACAGTTTTCCATTGGCTCTCTTTCTCAGAACTGATCACAATCTTAACACAACAAACTAAGCCTGTAACCGTGCATTCCCCAAAGTGTTCCTCCCCTTTATACCAATTTGATATCCCCAGATTGGCAGTTCTTAAGTAGTTAGCTTTTGTATCAGAATTAACTCAACCATTCAGAATACAATTTGTTTATTATCTGAAACAGGACCATTGATTGCAAAATTATACCACTGGTTTGGGAGACAAATAGTTACATCTTCCAGTCAAAAAGCAATTAGAGTAGATATTAATGCATGTTATTGGCTTAGAGTACATGCTGACAAAAGTGGACACGTTCACGTTTTACTTCTCGCTTATATTTTTTCCCATATTTAGAAACATGATGAGGTTTACTTATGATCTTAGCTAATTTCTAAGTATCTCCATTTTCTTGACATAAACATGTAGTAAAAAATGTTTGTTTATAACAGCTACTTCATACCAGGTTACATGTTAATTTATCTAATGCTCATAATAGCCGTAAGTGATGGGTACCATCATTAGCCTCATTTTATAGATGGGAGACTGATGCACAGAGAAGGTAAGCATTTTGCTGAGGGTTGCACAGCTGGTGGGTGGCGGAGCCCGTCTGAGCCCAGGTAGTGTGGCCTTTGTGTCTGTGTCTCATCCAGGGTGTTCTGCTTCTGCCGTGAGCCTCTCTATGCTAGGATATGATCTGGTGGTTGTTCTTAGAGTTATACATAGACTAGACTTTCTTTTCAAAAAGAAACTTGTGAGGGTTGAATATTAATATATCTGACTTTAAAAGAAGTTGAGAGGAATTGTTCTAGGCCTGGGGCCTGCATCCCCCCCCCCCCATAAAAGGCCAAATAGTAATTATTTTTGGCTTGTGGGGTGGGAGGTGGAGCAAGTTGAAACCTCTCCACTCTTTCTCTGTAGCACAAAAAGAGCCATGGACAACCCATTAATGAACGAGCATGGCTGGGTGATAGGAACATGTCATTTGTAGACAAGAAATTTCATGTTGCACATGTCATGACATATTATTATTCCCCTTTTGATTTTTTCAACCATTTATGAATGTAAAACCCATGCTGTCTGCGTGGGCTGCATAGAAACAGGAGGTAGGCTGGAGTTTTTCTGTGAGTCACAGTTGGCCAACCCCCGTTCTGGGCACTAGGGAGCCATCACTGAACAAAATGGACACAAAATTTTGTCCTCATTCTAG